AGGAACTGGAGAGTTACAAAGCCCCACAAAAACAGGACCAGTAAATTAAAACTTCTGGGTTTTTTCCACTGCAAAACCCCATGAATCTGAACCCAATCACAGAGAAAGCAAGACTGCACAGGTCAAAACAGAACAGCTGATGATGCTAATTTGCATGTTTTCCTGGAAATGAGAGTTAAGCCTGAGAGAACACAAACCACAGGTGGGCACTTTTGATAACTCACAAGACTCAGCTGCTCCAAACAAGTAAGAACACATTTTCTGAGCCTCACAGAGTTTAAACCCTTCCTTTTTGTGAAGAATGTTCTTTTTTTTTTTTTAAGAAACCTCCTCCTGAGACAGTGTTTATACACTTTCAATCTGTGTCTGCTCTTCAGTGTCCACCATTCTGAGCACCYTCCAAGGCTGCCACTCACCAGATGTGACAGCAGCAGAGGATGGGAGTGTGGCATAAACCTTCACAGAGTCTGTGACCTGCAGGACAGAGATGCTGCCATCGGACAGGCAGATGGCCACCATGGCAGGAATGGCAGGGTTCCACTTCAGGTCATTGACCACAGCTGCACTTCCCGAGTCCTTGGCCAGTTTGTGATAAGCAAATGCATGTTTCTGCTGCTTTGCCTTTTAGGAAAAACAAATACACAAGAGAGTAAGAGCAGAGCACAAAATCAAACTCTCCTGAAGTCGCAGTTCAAAGCAGTTTTGATCTGCCTATAAATTAATGACTGATAAAGACAAGCAGATTTTGAGTTTATTGATCAACTCCTTTACAAGACATCTCTACAGAGACAGAAAATCCCATCCCAGCTACACCTCTCCTCTGCTGTATTTTGAAAAAAAAAACCCCAAACCAAAGCCAAACCCACTCGGCATGTGCTGTACCTGATTTAGGAATGTRCGGACATCAAAAAAGCTGATGAAGGAACCAATCTCGTTGGACATCATACAGACAGACAGGGTGAGATTGTCACAGCTCAGAGCCAGGTGCTGCATAGGGAACTTCATGGGAACCACAGTACTCTGAATATTCTCCACTTAAAACACAAAAGGAAAGGAAGATGGAATGAAGGGGACAAATTTAAATAGCAAGAATGGTTCTTGTAAAATAATACAACAAATTTATGCAAAAACCATCAGTCTCATTAACAGCAGCTATCAAAGGTAACAAGTAGAAAAACGGAATGAAAGCAAATCCATCTCYATCAATACAGTCTTGAGAGTTGCCAAATTCCTAGGAAAAGAAAATGCCACTTTCCTTCCTCAGYAACCTGAGTAATAACAAGTGGAAAGATTTTTGGCTTTATCTATGTATGTACAGAGTGGAACAGTTACTAAGGAGAATGAAATTTTGTACTCAGGTGCTGGGACAGTGGTTGCTCCCCCTCTCCTGGGCAGTTTCGTCAGAGTGGGTAACTCAGCGTGAGAACTCTGTGCCTTCACTCACACACATTCCTGACACATGCACAGCTCAAAGAATGGCTACCAACCCAGCAAAGAGTGGCTACAAATGTTTTTCCTACTTTCTCACACAAGAAACTGTGGCAATTCAAATGCCTGACAGAGMATGACAGGGATAAGCCCCATATCATAACCCCATATCATAAATCCCATATCAAGCTGTCTCTGCCAAAGCCATGAGATTTAAGTGTGTCTTACCAATTTTACTGGGATCTTCTCCTGGCTGTTTCTGCATGAGAAGATCTCTGGTGTGGAAGATCTGCAGGCTGGTCCCTCCACCAGCAAAGACCAGCCCATATTTGTTGGACACAGCAAGGAGGCTGGAGCGCTCTTTGGGGAGATCATCAGGAGAATCAAAGATGCGAACCTTCTTCAGTGCTCTGAACTGAAAATCCTGTTTGAGAGAGTTGGGAAGTAGATGCTCACAAAGGGACCAAGAGGAATAGTTTACTTTGGCTTCTCTAAGACAGTGAATGCAGGAGTTTCTCCACAAGAGCTGCAAAGCTCTGCCAAACACCCCAGCAGTCTCTGGCCACCCCATCACATTTTTTGTCTCATCTTTGAAAGATTGAGGTCACACCACATTGTTTATCCATTAGTTAAATCTCTCTTGCACCCAGTGCCACTGATCATAAAATCTGCAGGAGCTGAATCTGTCTGGGACACCTGACCTTCTCATGAGCACACCAAAACTAACCAAGGGATACAGAGAAAAAGAGAAGGAGAAGGGAATAAAGAAAATTTAGAACAGAACTGAACAAAACTCGCTGCTACAAGGCACACATTTGGTAACATATATACCAATAACTCCAATCAAGCACCTGAGTTACTCCCAGATTACTACCACTAAATAAGTACATTCCTGCCACCTGAGGGTGTATAAACTCAGAAACTTCTGCAAAACAAACAGGCCAGCTAGTCTGGTTTTGAGGGCAGAAAGCAACTGGACAACTCACAATTGCTCCAGGAATCTGCTCCCCCATGTCCCTGCTTAACACTGGGTGACACAGGACAGGCTAGGCTGGCACCACACAGCAAGACTCCAGCTCACACTGCTCCACAGCCACACACACTGCTCCCAAAGCCAGGAGATTCCCAGCACAAGGCATGCTGACAGAAGGAGTTAGAAACGCATCTCTCTTCTTCCAGAACAAGATTCCTCCAACTCTCCTTCACCCCTGAAACTGCGTGAAGCCAGGTTGGATGAGGCTTGGAACAACCTGGTCTGATGAAAGGTGTTCSTGCCCGTGGCAGGGGTTAGAACGAGATGAGATCTACGGTCCCTTCCAACACAAACCATTCWGTGATTCCTTCCCCAGGCATTAAAGACTCCCCTACACCAAGGCCATGCCAGCCTTTCTTTTCCATCTCACAGGCTTGTACCACACTCTGCTGGAAAGTCCTCAAATACTAGAAAGTCCTCAAAATTGCCCAGAAAGGGTGTGGAGTAYCCCTCAMTGGAGATATTCCAGACCCGTSTGGACGCAATTCTGTGCTATGTGCTGTGGGATGACCCGGTCTGAGCAGGCAGGTTTGACCCACTGTGGTCCCTTCCAGCCCGACCCATTCTAGCACTGATTCACATACACTGTAAGGATGCCTCAAAAAGCCCCGGCCATGTCCCGAGCCGACCCTCCCGGTTTGTCAGCCCCACGCTCCCACCCAAGCGGCCCCCAGAACCCACCACCACTCGCAGACCAGGCCGAGTCCTCCCCAAGYCCCGCTCCCCTCCGGCTCCACGCCAAGGCCCCCGGCCCGAGCCAAACGGCCTGTCAGCCTTCCCCGCGGCGGGCTGCCCTTTTACAGCTCCCACTCTCCCCGTGCCTCACCTTCATCTCCCGATCGGGGATCACGTCCATGTCGTCCCCCATGGCGGCCCCGCSGCCGCGGTCCCGCCGCCCGCGCCCCGCCGGGAGAGCCCTTCGCCACTTCCGCTTCCGGCGGAGCCGCTCTGGCCGCCGCTCTCGSTGCTCCGGGTCCTCCCGCCGGGTCCTCCCCCGCTACAGCTGTTCCTAATAAAGCCTTTTTTCACAGAGTCAACCAGGTTGGARAAGATCTCTGAAATCATSGAGCCCAGCTGTGACCGATCACCACCTTTTCAACCAGCGCAGCGTACTGAGTGCCGCGTCCAGTCGTTCCTTGGGSCCC